CATACCCTCTATTATCACTGCCCATCCAAATCCCTGATAATAAAGGAATGTCGAGCGTACAATTAGCGACCCCATCCTGTAGAGAACTAACTCTCTAGATAAACGCTAACCAGAAAAAATAATTCAATCAATTTCAAACAACGTTTTCTGACCAGAACTCGGTCCTGGATCCCTATTATGAGACCTGATTCTCTTCTGGACTCGGACCTCGTACTTTCTGGATGCTTGTAGAATACAGGTTCTACTTCACATTCCAGTCTTCTTACTTTTATTCGATGAGGGTTAAGATAATCGGATTTGAGTAGCATGTCGTGTCGCCGGATCCTCGATCCTCGCTCTCGTATTCTGACTAGGGTAAACTCGTAATAGTTCAAGCATATCGGAATGACGTGTTTACGCGCGGGCGTAGCAAAGCATCATCCACCCTATCTAGGATGAGACTCCGGTCTCACGTCCAGATCAGCAGACCACGCCGCCCTTGAATTCGGATGGGATCGCAGGCTCACGAGGTTTGCACGAGACTACCATCTCGCGATCCGTTCGCCGCCCATGCCTACCTGTACGTTTTCGCGGGTTAAACTCTAATCAACAACTAATACGCGATAGGACACTATCCTCATACTACATGTATGCTACACCTTTCTCTTTTTCCTTAATTTTTTTATCCTGAGCCCACGCCTTCCACCATTGCCCTGTTGGTACCGTCGACTTCAATCAACCTTGGTGAAAGCTGACCTGATCACCCATGCTCTGTTCAATGCACTCAGTAGATGTTCTGGTTACGAATAAATCTGGTTTCGCACTGGTCGTTATCACCGTTTCTGGCTCCTTTGCTGAATCTGGTTCCGTACTACGTCTGCAGCCTTATCTACTCCGGACCCTTACGAACGCGATCTTCAGACTCTGGATACGAGCCATGCTGAAGTGGCTTGCCAATCAGATAGACAATCTTGGGACATCAACTCGAGCAACAAACCTGGCACGTTACAACTGGTACATTTCAACGTAGAAGGCTATCGGTGACAACTAGAGTTTCATTGGTTGCTTTCTTTTCGTCAACCCTTCCGCACTACAATCAAATGTTGGCCGACCAGCCGCTATGTATCGAAAGTGTAAACTCTTTCTAGAGGGAGCTGCCATGGTGGAACAATTCTACGAATAAAACGCGATTTGTGAAAAATAAACATCATTGTACTCGTTTTGTTTAACTGTACCGAAAAACACTTCTTGCGCGCAACGTTCTCTTCGCGTTGCTGTCATTTTTCTTAACGTGCTGCTCTCTATGTAATGTCTACTTTCTACTTCAATTATATATTCAAACATGGATTTATTTTGATTTAAGTGACGGGATAGTATGTAACATTTAGTGGTGATCATAGTCAATCTCGACTCGGTCAATTCTACTGTGTGAGGCAGAAACTTTAAGAACTACAAAAATCATCATTCAGAAGATGCCATTATTTATTAACAGATGCCTACGCAACATACTTCGGATCCGTTGGCCAGACACTATCAGCAACAACTTACTCTGAAAGAGAACAAACCAAATTTCAGTTAAGGTAGAAATCAAGAAGAAGTGCGGCAACTGGATAAGCCACACACTGGGGATAGCGTGGTAATGCGTCGTAAGAGAGGCGGTCAGCTGGAATCCTTAATGCCAACGGAAAAGAGGAAGGTCAAGAAATACATTACACCGCGAAATGGTGACATACATGACATGGATGAACAACAATTGAACAGAGCTAGAAAACAAGGCTCAAGACAGAGTAGGTTGCAGAATGCTGGACAGCGACCCATTCTTCATCTCTGGTAACATGTGACAGTAAGTCAGTATACTGACTGTATGGACTTTTTAAAGTTTTGAACACTGAAGCGAATGTATAAAGTTGTTGTACAGTAAGAAAGATGAACAGTAGTAGATGTAGTAGTTGGTGTTGTTGTTTGGACAAATTAACTAATCCATACTTCTCGAGTTCCAATTCACTCATCTTTTGAATTTGTCAACTAATCGCTTTTATGTCGGTTGTTACAATTTCAGTACCGGTTAGTTCACTTAATATATATCTGGCTTTTTTTTAAATAACTGTAAAATGAGTTGGCTCATTCACTTTCTTCATTTCGTTTCGCTTTAATTGCACACTATTCATTCTCGTCTCCTCGCTTAAATGAAAATTATTTGAGTGCTTAACCTCATTTGTTAATGAAAATTTCATACCATTTTTCTCATCAGCGAATTTGGATAAAGTGAGGACAATTAACGAAGTAGATATGATAACATGGATCCATTTTAATTCACAGCTTTTCATCAGTCGCTTTCGATCTCAGCACAGTAGAACTGCACTCAAAATATTTTGTCTTAAGTAATTACATAATTATAATATCAACATCTTATTTCTCATTACAATTATGTTCAACCTATAAATCTTCAAAATATATTTGGCATACATTTGTGGTCTATTATTGTCCTTATTGCTATTCTCATGAATCTTCGATGATGAGAACTTTTCTGATATTGTGATATGAAGTAAGTGTTCTGGTTTGTATTGATCGATAATATTAGGTTTAGATTGTAAGCAGTTAATGAAAAACTGCACAATCACATGAATTCATATCATTCTGCTATGTTCATTTAGCTCAGAGAATGAAACACCACCAGAAGCCACGTTCATCGCTTATAGAATTTATTGCGGATAAATGCAGTCTTTTCATTTATCACTATTTGAAGTGTTCGCTTTTCTGTTCTGATGTCAGTGTAATATAGTTCATAGTTAAGTTAATAAATAGCGCTGTCCAACTATTTGTGTGTGCGTCAATGACAATTATCTATGCAAGCAGATCAAAGATGTAACTGCTTATCATCTAATTATGAACAAACTCAAAGGTTGTTTCCTTGTACGATTAACCAATTTGAACGTTCCAACTTTAATCAGTCCAGGGAAATTTCCGTAATTATGCTTATGGGATGATTCACTTAACTGCTGGTTCACCACGTACAATGA